AAACCTTGGTCTATATTCCAAAAACTCATCGATCTTCGCAAATGGATTCATTATTTATCTTCAACAGATATACAGATTTTTTCCACAACACACTCATTTCAGAAAGTCAAACCCATACATTATATACATATGACATATAGAGTGAAATATTTCAAGAATTTACTTTTTTAATTTTCATGATTGTGGCTTACAGATAATGAAAAGCCAAAATTCTGTGTCACATAAAATTTGAATATTGTGCAAAATTTCAATATTGGGAATTCACACCTTAATCAACTAATAAACTGAAAACACCCACAAAGGTTTCCTGAGCCTTTAAATGGTCTCTCAGTCTGGGTATGTAGGCTACACAGTTATGGGGAAGGCTGCTGACTCACAAGCCACAAAAGGCCATTGCTAAAGAAGGTGATTGTTCACACAGTGCTGTATCCAAGCATAATCATAAAAACTTGAGTGGAAAAAAATGAGGTAGGAAAAGGTGCACCAGCCAAAGGGATGACCACAGTCTTGAGAGGATTTCCAACAAAATCCATTCAAGAATTTGGGGGAGCTTAATAAGGAGTGGACTGAGGCTGGAGTCAAAAGCCACTACGAACAGACAGACCCTATATGAGACATGAGACGATGTCAGAAGCAGCATCTTACCTGGAAAAAAAGAACTAGACTGTTGTGCAGGTCCAAAGTCTTCTTTTCAGATGAAAGTAAATTTTGCATCCTTTGGAAATCAAGGTCTCAGAGTCTGGAGGAAGAGTGGAGAAGCACAGAATCCATACTGCTTAAAGTCCAGTGTGAAGTTTCCACAATAAGTGATGACTTGGGAGCCATGTCATCTGCTGGTGTTCCAGTGTTTCCTGCAGTCCACAGTCATCGCACTCATTTACGAAGACATTTTACAGCACTTAATGCTTCCTTCTACTGACCAGCTTTATGGAGGTGCTGATTTCATTTTCCAGCAGGACTTGGCACCTGCCCACACAGTCAAAGGTACCAAAAAATAGCTCACTGACCATGTGTTACTGTGCTAGATTGGCCTGCAAACTCGCCTAACCTGAACCCCATAGAGAATGTCTGGGATATTATCAAGAGGAAGATGAGAGACAATAGACCCAGCAATGCAGATGACCTGAAGGTCGCTATGAAAGCAACCTGGGCTTCCATTACACCTGAGCAGAGCCACAGGGCAATCGTATCCATGCCACAGCGCATTGATGGGTTTAATTCCAAAGGAGGCCCAATCAAGTACTGAGTGCACAGAAATTCATTTCAGAAGCCTGCCATTTTTGTTTCAAATAAAATAAAATAAAAATAATTGTTCTTAAGTAATATTCAAATTTTCTGAGAATTTTGTTTATTCAAAATTCATTATCTGTAAGCCACAATCATAAAGATTCAAAAAACAAACTCTTGAAATATTTCACTCTATGTGTCATGAGTCTATATAATATATGGAATTAACTTTCTGAAATGAATGCCAAAAAATATTGAACCCATGATATTCTAATTATTTGTGATAGCCTAGTAGCTTCAGAATATGGCGACATTTTTCAACAGTAAAGTGATTGGCTATTCTTAGCCATAAGATTAATAAGGCCAGTTTGTGGAGACTAACAAATAATGATAAGGTTAAACATTTGGGGATACGTTTAGATATCTATTTCTATTTCAAGGCTATTTCTTTAAAAAAAAACTGTGAATCCTCCATAGAGTCATTAAGGCCCCTGCCCTGTGGCTGTGTGCCCTCCAGCTGAAATTGTGTCATTATTTGGTTGGTCACAATACATCTGCCAAATCCATCCATGGCCAAACCTAACACAACATTCTGACCTTGATGAGCACAGGATTAACAAAATGGCAAGTAAGCTACTGTGTTCTATTGCTACATCGGCATTCACATAATTTTTAAACGATTATGTTAATGATCTTTTTACTGCTTATTTATTAAAGGGCCCATATTAAATTATTTTCTGATCATAATTATAATGTTGCTTCCTCATCAAAAGTAAATCTGGAGTTGTGTTTTGTTTCATTGACATATGCATAAACGATGCAGTTTTAGGAGTTCTTCTCTCAAACTGAAAACACCTTGTGATACTCATGTGGGAATACAGGAAGTGCTCCACTGTTTGTTTGTTTTATTTTATTTTATTTTGTTTTGTTTTCCATACACTTTCAGTACAATCATTTGGACGACTGGAACTGTCAATCTTTACTGAACAAAAGGACGAGTTAGAGATGGAGATGTACAGTAGTCCAGGATTACTCATACGAGTGACTGAAACTAAACACAAGTCAAGTCATATTTTTATGAAGTAACATTATAACATGGGAATTAAAAATCAACAATTTTGTGTAATATGGGGCCTTTACTGCGTGCTTTTCAATGCTGTAAAGACGCTTACTGGAGTTATGTTTACCTGCACGTGGTTAGCATCTAGTAGATATTTGTAATAGATGCCATCTATTACAAATATCACAAAAAGCTATTGTATACCTTCGCCTC